TTTGCAGATACTACTTTGTAGCTTGCCTTTAGTATTTTAAGCAAATGTGTCTTCCTGGCCAGAACAGTATTTTTTAACCTCTGCTGCCTGCTCAGTTCTCACAGACAGATGGGCGCTTGGTTTAGGTTTGCTCTTTGATCTCCGTGCTTCTCTGTGGCACTGCCCCTTCCCCAGAATCAAGCGCAAAGTCCCATATGTAACAGGATGGGTCAGTGGAGAGCATGTTTCATTCCTTGCTCTTGGATTCCCCCAAGGAAGAAGATTCCAGGCTTGTTCAGATGAAGAGGCGGAAGCGGAACAAGGTTTCCGTTCTCCAGATGAGGAGAAATGACATGAAGGAGGAAGATGAAGAGGATGAGGAAGAGGAGGAGGACAAGGCAGAAGGGCCCCCTACCTCTTTGCAATCACCTAGGACAAGACAGACGCAATGCTCATACTCAAGGATCCCCCAAGTGAGGCACAAGGAGCACCTGAGCATCTTGGAAGGTAGCTTGAGCTCATCCACCAATGAAAGCAAGTTGTCTGGCTGGAGTCTGTCCATGTTTTGCCAATACTTGTGTAGCTGCTGCCACAGGAAGCAGAAGTTAGTGGAGGAAAACAAGGCATCTGACTCTGGAGCAAGGAGGAGCCCGGGTGAGACTGACTCAGCTGTGAGCATCACTAATGAGTGATGGTCCAGAGCTCTAAGGAGCTCTGAGGAAAGGTCTGGGCAGAAGCCAGAAGAGCAGAGGGTATAATCCTTCCGCTTACAAATAAAGCACATTTTATTTTTGTGAATGGCATGCATGAGCCTGATGATTCCAGGTTTTTGTCTTTTTTTTTTTTGCTAGATGTATTTAGATATATTCAATCCCTGTCCCGATTTATGTCTCTGAACATCCTGTTTGCTTGCTCCCTCCTTCCTTCTTTCTCCTTCCTTCCTTCCTCCCTCCCTCTTTCCTTCCTTCCTTCCTTCCTTCCTTCCTTCCTTCCTTCCTTCCTTCCTTCCTTCCTTCCTCTCTCTCTCTCCTTCCTTCCTTCTTTCCTTCCTTCCTTCCTTCCTTTCTTTCCTTCTTTCTTTCTTTCTTTCTTTCTTTCTTTCTTTCTTTCTTTCTTTCTTTCTTTCTTTCTTTC